AAAAAAAAAAATAAATAAAATAAAAGAGGCATACACAGTTGGAGACTCACAATTATAGATAAGAGACTTCCACATTAATTTATAAGCATAATGTTAGTCAAGGTCCCGCTTACATCCTGGGGGAGTAGGGTAAAGTTCCTGTGGAGGAATAAACTTAAAAGAATAAAGCAAGAAAATTTTTTCAAAGTATCAAGTACAATAATAAAAACAGTACTTTGTTGGCACAGGCCAATTGAAAAAGACAGAAAGTTCAGAAACAGGCACAGATGTGTATAAGCCTTTAATAAATGAGAAGTAACAGTGAAGGCATGGAAGGATTTAACGATGTTGTGACAGCTGACTAGTCCGCACCCGACACCATACGTCAAGTTCCAGGTGAACTGAACATTTCAATGTAAGAAAATGAAAACAAAATGTGGGGGAAGACTTTTTCTTTGTATGACTTGAGAGGCAAAAAAAAGAAAAAAAAAAAAAGACTGATAAATTTGACATAAAACATAAATAATACTCTCTAAAATAAATATGTTTTGAGGGTGTCAATCGTTTTCTGTCATTGATGCTATCATCACTTCGGTTTATCATGTGTCTTTTCATTTCATTTCAGTTCCTTTTGACATACAAAAGCGTTAAAACTGCAGAATGAAATTTCGATTTTTTTTTTAAAGTTTATTTGCTGTTGGCCTAGAAATGACTTTTTAAAAACCCAACCAGACTAATATTCACTAATATTTTCTTATAATTTTTCATTGTTTTCTATTTTATGTTAATTACACAGATGAGAGGTCAACATATGGCTCTGTCCTATAGGAGCGGTTTGATTTAAGAATGTTACTACTTAACTTCTGTGTCTCAATTTATTTTACTGAAAAAATGGACATAATAGTAATAACCTATTAAAGTTCCTTTGGAGAGTAAAATAATTAATTTATACAAAGTGTTTATCTATCATGCTAGATAGAACCCAGCATACAGTCAGTAAATGGTAACTATTACTTTTAATATTATTGCACTGCATATTTGACTTAATTTCCTCATGTGTTTTTATTACTAGAAACTTAAGGTAATGGTATTTTTACCTGATTTTAAAACACATTTCACATTATCTAATGAATCCTGTAGCTTTTCTTTCTTTTTTTAATGTTTGTTTAGTTTTGGCGCTGGAGAGGCAGAGAGAGAGGGGGACAGAAGAAGACCCAAAGCCAGCTCTGTGCTGACAGCACAGAGCCCGATGCGGGGCTCAAACCCAGGAACCGTGAGATCATGCCCTGAGCCAAAGTCGGACACTTAACTAACTGAGCCACCCAGGCGCCCCATAGCTTTTCGTTTTTTTAAATTATTGTTAAATATATATATTAAAATATTGCCATCTACGTAATATATGCCAATCACAAAAATACGTTAATTCTTTGAGTTACACACAGCATCTTACAATTTGGTCATTTAAAGTTGCAGTCTGAAGTCATCAGATGGCCAAGTAATAGTATATAATCCAAGAATATTAAAAGGTCTCTTACACACGCCAGAACTGCTGAAATTATGAGTTTGAAATACAAATATGATGTTCACCTTTCTTTATCTTACCTCTAATAGGCCATCCTCTGGTAGATCAGTACAGTGGACAGCGTTCTGGATCTTAGTTTTACCAAAGATTGCTCTGAGCGTTCCAGGGCGTAAATGCCGGGCAATTTCCTATTAAATACATATTCACATATAGATTAAAGTCAGTCATACAGTGTTAATAAGAAAAACACCAGCTACAGGAAACACTTGAATTATTTGTTTACAAAATACACGTATACATTGATGGCACTGATTTTTCCTGGAAACAGCACGAATGCATGAAACTTTGAGCGATGAAAAATTTCAGTTCATTCACTAGGCTTTTTCTGTGGCCTGTTGTAAAGTCGAGAGGGCAATAATAATCACATCTTTTTTATCAACAGATTATGGGAATCACATAAAATATGAACCTAGTTGATTACTGTGAAAGACTTGTATCCTAACAACTTGATTTAAAATGAATCAGTTTGCATGGATTTCAAAAAATTTTTCAAAATGTTACAGTTGTATCAGCTTTAGTACTAGCTCATATGAGGGGGAAAATGGTTACAAATAACTCCAAATTGAGGGTCAAAGAAACAAGAGGTTAAAAAAAAAAAAAAAAGCAAGATGTGGGAGTATTCATGACCTGCTTATTAGTCTTTTTTTATTCTAAGTGAAGCACTTCCAAAACTTCAATTTTAATTCTGACATCTACTTACAAAAATGGTATTTAATATATATGAAAATTTTTGATAAATGAAACAAATACCTGTGTACCCACTATTTAGGTGAATTAAAATAAAGCAACAACTTTGAAGTCCCCTGTGTGGGACTTTATCCTGACTCCACCTATCCCATCCCTACGTCTACCCAGAGGTGCCCGTTACTCTCAATTTTATTTAAAGATTCCCTTGTTTAGTTTTCAAAACACTGTTTTTCAGATTTATCCATGTTGTTATAGTCATAATTCATTTGTTTTTATTACTATATAAATCCAGTGTATGACTGAGCATATTTTATTCCGTTTCCTGTTGAGGGACATTGAACTAATTTCTTCTCTTTCCCCCTTTCCTTCTCCACTCCTTGCTTTTGAGACACACACACACACACACACACACACACACACACACACACACACAAATTCTGCTACAAGCATTCTTGTACATAGTACAGTGTCTACGTACAAGAGTTTTGTCTGCACATGCATATTCAATTATACTAAGTACTGTCAAACCATTTTCTTAAGTGGTTGTAATAATTTGCCCTCAACCATCAATGCATAATAATTCCCGTTATCCACATAAAATCCAACATTTCATACTGGCTGACTCTTTAATTTTGCCATACTGGTGGGTGTTAAATGGTGTCTCATTGTATTCTTACAGTTCACATTTCTGTAATTACTAGAGAAGTTTAGTGTCCTTTCATATACATCCCCTTTTGTAAAATGTTTATTCTTGTCTTTTCTCCATTTTTCTACTAGGCTTTTCTTGTTCTTTTTGATTATGATTCTTAATATATTCTGACTTCTATTTTTTTTGTCACTTTTTACGATGCATGTATCTTTTTCCAGGATGAAGCTTGTCTTTGGGTTTTCTTTAGTATGTCTTTTGTTGATGAACAGAAATACTAAATTTTAATGAAATTAAATTTATCAATCTTTTCATTTATGATTTGTGCTGTTTCTGAAGGAATTATTCCCTGCTCCAGGAACATAAGGATACTCTTCTCTATTGTCCTCAAAATCTTTACATTTTGCCTTCCAAATAAAATTCTTGATCCACCTAGAATTGACTTTGGCTATCATCTGAGGGGGACATCCATCTCCATTTTTCCCTTATGGGCATTTAATTACCCCAGCACCATATATTGAATAGTTTTCCTCTTTCCTTACCAATCTCCAGTGATGACTGTTATGATATGATTTCCGTGTAGGTATGAGTCTATTTATTAGTTTGCTGTTTGGTTCCATTGCACGTTTTGTCTATTCATGGATCTACATTATACTGTCTTAATTATTATAGCTTTATAGTAAATCTTCAACTGGTAGGGAAAGTCCTCCGTAGTTTGGTTTTGAATGCATTAAGTTTGGACTGCCTATTAGATATCCAAGTGAAGTTTTCAAATACATGGTTGAGTATGAGTGTACTCTTCAGAGGAGTCTTTTAAACTGCAAATGACAATTTGGGGGTCCACGGCATTGCTAAGACATTTAAAGGTGTCACTTGGGTAAGATTGTGAAGGCAGTGAGATGACACATCGGGGCACCATATCATTGGAAAACCAGGAGACGAGGAGAGATGAGCAAAGGAGATGGAGAAGAAACAACCAGCAGGTAAGGCGAGTTACAGAAGGGTCCTCTCCTAGAAGGCAGTGAAGAAAAACGTCAAGGACAGAGAGTCCTCAACAGTGCCCAATGTTGCTGAGAAGTCAAGCAGGGTAAATACTCAGGACTGAACGCTAGATCTATCAATATGGAGTCACAGATATCCTTGACAGGAGTGGTTCCAGGGGCCTGCAGATGAGCAAAACACTGATTAATGTGGTTTCCAGAGAAAAAGGGAGTAGAGCTGGGAAAAGTGAATACAGGCAAGTATTCTGAGGCATTTTGCTAAAAGGGGAGAAGAGAAATGGAGCAGCAAATGGCAAAAAGTGGTATGAAGAGAGGTTTTTCTGGGGGAGAGGGTGAATTTTAAATTGGGAGAAATAACAGCACGTTTAAATGAGATACCACCTCACTCCTGTCAGAATGGCTAACATCAACAACTCAGGCAACAACAGATGTTGGCAAGGATGCGGAGAAAGAGGATCTCTTTTGAACCGCTGGTGGGAATGCAAGCTGGTACAGCCACTCTGGAAAACTGTATGGGGTTCCTCAAAAAATTAAAAATAGAACTACCCTACGACCCAGCAATTGCACTACTACGCATTTATCCAAGGGATACAGGTGTGCTGTTTCAAAGGGGCACATGCACCCCAATGTTTATAGCAGCACTATCAACAATAGCCAAAGTATGGAAAGAGCCCAAATGTCCATCGATGGATGAATGGATAAAGAAGATGTGGTGTGTGTGTGTGTGTGTGTGTGTGTGTGCGCGCGCGCACGCGCACACACACACACACACACACACACACACACACTGGAGTACTACTCGGCAATCAAAAAGAATGAAATCTTGCCATTTGCAACTATGTGGATGGAACTAGAGGGTATTATGCAAAGTGAAATTAGAGAAAGACAAATATCATAGGACTTAACTCACATGAGGAACTTAAGATACAAAACAGATGAACATGAGGGAAGGGAAGCAAAAATAATACAAAAACGGGGAGGGGGACAAAACATAAAGTCTCTTAAATATAGAGGACAGAGGGTTACTGGAGGGCTTGTGGGAGGGGGATGGGCTAAATGGGCCAGGGGCACTAAGGAATCTACTTCTGAAATTATTGTTGCACTATATGCTAACCTGGATGTAAATGAAAAAATTAATTAAAAAATAACAAATAGCACATTTACACGCTGATACGAACAATCCAACAAAGGGAAGCAGGAGGGAGACAAAGCAGGAAGGAGAAGCAGGAAATGCTGGAGTAATGGAATCGAGTGCAGGAGTAGGGGAGCTGGCCTTATCTAGGCCAAGCAGCATCCAGCCTGAGCAACAAGACCAAATACAGAGCCTGACGCAGGTAAGTGGTTCTGTGCAGCGGTGGGCACCTATTGAAGTTATTTTTAATTTTTATTGAGACATAATTTACATAGATAACATGTATCGGTTTAAGTTTCTTTATTTGAGAGAGCGTGCATGCATGTACACGTACGTGATAGTGAGTGGGGGAGGGGCAGAGAGAGGGGGAGAGAGAATCTCAAGCAGGCTCTGTGCAGTGCCCCACATGGGGCTCCGTCCCATGAACCGTAAGATCGTGACCTGAGCCGAAATCAAGAGTCAGTTGCCTAACTGACTGAGCCACCCAGGCGCCCCAACACGTATTGGTTTTAAGCGTAACTGCCCCACGAATTTTGTCGAATGGATAAACTCAGTAATCACCCCCCTAAACAAACTATGGAACATTTCTAAAGTTCCCTCCAGAAGTTTTCTTTTGACGGATTCTCTTGTGCGGTGGAAAGGGCAGCAAGACTGTCATCAGCTGAGGGGAAGGCCGGGGAGGAGGTCTGGGGATGTCAGGAGAGAAAAGAAGGTTTGGAATACATTTTAAGAGCAAGAAAGTGAATGAACCGGGAAAGTATAATGTGACTGCCGAGCAGCACTGAGGAACCCCGTCAGGCCCTTTGTTAGTGAGGTTAGGTGAGCAGTCATGAACGCAGAGGGAGATCTTTCAGGATAGCTGTGTTCTTCTCCAGGCACACTCAGCATCTGGTCGAAAGCTGAATTTAACGAAGGGCGGGGCTTTGCCAAAAGAAAACAGCAAAACAAGAGAGGAGTGAGGGGGGGTTGAAGGTGTGTTCGAGGTAGTGATGATAATAATATTGACAACACGCATTACACTGAGTAAGAAAGTGAGGGCCTGGGGTTGGAGGGGTGAGAGACAACGAAAAGGTAGATCCATGGATTGGAGCTCCTGGTGGGAGGATTATTAAAATCGGCGTGAGAAGAAGTGAGCTGGAAAGTTAAGAGAGGAGATACTCGAAATTACTGGAAGTGAGCGGAGAGGGTGTGTTCGTTCACAACCCTCTTGGGATTTGCCGGGTGTAATCTGAAACTGGCCCCGGTACTCAGAGGGCAGGGAGAAACTGAAGAAAGAGGTCAGTAGCGGCAGTTTTAATAAGCAAGAGGAACTTGGGTGGCAGCAAGATGAAGGGATCCCTGTACCTGCCAGCCACATCTTAACCTTAATTGGGTTGAGTCACATATACTGTGCGGGTGTCCTCAACTCCGTATCATTAGCTTAAGGCTGCGTCCTTGGAGCAGCCACTGGTGGGGAGCAAGGCAAGCAGAACCCACATTCCAAGGACAGGGAATGGGGGTGGGGGGCCTCTGATCGCCTGGGTCGACTGACGGTCACGTCTTTCCAATGACCTTCTCCAATGGGGTCACAGTGATTTATAATGACCAGTTTTAAGGTGTCACCACGGCTAAGGTCACACGGAAGGCAAGAATACTAAAGAAAGGAGGGTCACAGACTGAAAG